GGTTTAGGGAATCTTGAACTGACTTGTATGAATTTTAAATTACTTCATTTTTTTAATATGGCTCAGACACACTTCATAAAATGAGAGTAAAGAATAAGATCTTGCATTGAAAGAGCTATCACATAGTAATGAATTGACCCTTTACTATTAAGGAAGCATTTTAAAAGAATTTTTTCCTGACTCTTTTGCAAGTAAACCAGGTTTTTAATATTCCTGGCTGACAGTCCATCAACTAACATGAAGCAAAAAATGTTTCATAATTGCCTTGCAAGCTTGGTTTTTGATACCATATGTTCACATGTTAAGTTTTTAATATTAAAATATACAAATTAAATTATTAATGTAGTTTATATATAAAACGCACACTTGAAGCAAAAAAGCCCCCAAACATATATTTTCCTTGATGTACTTTTGGTGTAAAATAAATTAAAATCTCTACAATTATATTGTCTCTAGCATTATGAAGATGGCTTCAAATGTTCTAATCTTTATTTTCTGAGAAACAAAGAATATCAATACCAACTATACTGGGTGTGTTAAATATTAAATATTAAAATGTGTATACTCTTGCTATAGTGTTAACTTTAATGAGAGTGAGAATGCTTAGAACATATTGAATAGGGTCCACAGTAATATTGTAATATACCATGAAGAAAACAGAAGCTTGAGTGTTTAGCAGTGTCCCCATAAGCAAGATGGGTAGAATGTTTTACTGGCATTAGAGCATCTTTTAATGAGAAGTATACTCAGTACCCATATGATATGCTACCTCTTCTTGCTGTGTCTTTAAATAATCTTGCTGATCTCCAGCAGGCTGCCAGCAATTTTATTTTTGTCACATCTAAAGCTGAAGGGTCTCCCTTTCCATTTAGGTTTTTGAAAGGGGCCAATTATTGAAAACTGCAGGAAACAATTTGATAGCTTCCAATTTTTTCCTCCTCTGTTTTCTCTTTTATCCAAGTCTACTTCTGACAGTAATGACTGATTCCTCTGGTATTTCACTTCTATAATTTCTTATGAATTAATTTTCCCATATAGCCCAATTGGGAGTTTTGATTTGAGAGGCAGAGTCTGTCCTATATTAAATTTCTTGGGAAAATGTGGAAAACTAAATTAGTTAACAAAGCCTTAGTTTTTTGTGTTAAAGAAACCACACCAATTACAGAAGGGAATTTGTAATTGTACATGCACAGAGCAAGCCTGTTGGGTATGTATAAAATGTGCACTTTAGCCACTTTAAAAGGCAATGCAGGGCTGCTGTTTGGGAGTATACAGCAGCTGTAACAATCTAACTGTCACACCTGCATGAGCCGGTATTGATACAAGTTCGCTAAATTGGAATTCTGAAAGTAATAACTGTTAGTACATAACTTAAGTAATTCTAACTGTTATTGCTGAAGCTTACATTGTCTCTTCTCAGGGCCATGTCATGACTTCACTTGAAGCTCAGTTCTACGCCCAACACTAACATGGAATTCTGCTTAAGAACTGATGGCGTAGTAGAGCCCTCAGGTAGTCTCAGAAGAGTTAGTGTGGCTTATGAATTGCATGACAACAGCTCGGTAGGTCACACTATCCCTTTGTTCTCATGAGTGGTAAGAACTTCTTTTACCTGGCATTGAGGAATTTGTACTATTCCTCAAAATTTTCAATTGATATTCAGTTTAAAGACGGTTCTCTGATGAAGCACTTTCTAAAGCAGCTCGTCTTGAAATATGTTTTTAAACACGATTTAAATATTTTTCTCCTCCTTTTAGGTGTTTAAAACACTCCTTTGGCAACAAAACAATTGGGCAAATTGCACAAACACAACTAGCAAAATAAGAATGAATCACAAATGAAGGAGAGGCTATCTGCAAGAATAGAAATAGAAGGCACAGCATTTACAGAGGAAAAGTTTTTTCCAAGTTGCTTTTTACATTGTCAGATAATTTGTGGAAAAGTTAAGAGATAAACTAGGATGCCAAAAGATTCCACTTCCTGCTGGAAAGAGAAAGAGAGAGGCCAGTAGCAGTACATTTTTGGTCTGCAGTGCTGAATTAAGGGAATTATCAGACGACTTGTCAATTTTTTGACAGGCATGTTTATTTCAAGCTTAGTACTCCAGGGACATTTTAGACCTCATTTCCATAATTTCAAATGCTTGTAAGAAGCTTAAATGACTTACCTGAAATTGGATGGAAACGGGTAACAGTACTTCATCCACAAGTTTTATATTTAACTATCGTATTATCAACTTAATAGACTACTTGGGATAGTGAAATAATCCCAAATATTTAGACCCCTTCTACATGTTGCATCTATTATGTAATTACCTTGTTAATTGCACAGTAACTTTAGACTGGCTATAAGTGCAAATTAACTATGGTGTCTTAAAAAGGTCCAAGCAGCTATAAAGATTTTATTAAAAAATGTGTATTAATTTTGTAGCTGGTTTCTATCCCGCTTTGATTTGCATGTGTAGGAAATCTGCAGCCAGGAGACTGAAGTTGCTGCAGTCTCCCAGGCACTGGGGAGCACAATGCCCCTCCAAAGCTGGCAGATCTCAGTTGCTGTGATCTCCCACCCATGGGTGTACTGCAGGCAGTGGCTGGGAGATGGTAGCGAATACAATCTCACAACCATTGCAGTCTCCCAGCCACAGGGTACTACATGCAGCCTCGGGGCTGAAAGATTGCAGCAGCACCCCATGAGCCCCCACAGTTGATGCGACTCTTAATCCCAGCTGTGCCACACAGGTCAGCAGCAGGACTCTGCTGGTCGCTGTGGCTGGGAGCATCCTCAGAAGAAGGGTTCTCAGCAGTGGGAGCCTGCTTCTTGCCAATACAGTGGGAGCCCAGGCTCCTCCTACATCCCACCATCATGCCTCCTGCTTTGTGTGTGGCATGGCAGGAGGCACAATTGTGTATATTGCACATTAGATCCCATCATGTGTGCACTGCACATGATCCCATACCTGCATGTGTAGATGGGGGCCTTATAGTCACAGTTTGACTTGAGTATGTATATGTGTGTGTGTTACACACACACACTTCAGTTATTTTAGGAGGTATTTAATTAAAACGTGACTATATAGTTCTGACTTAGGCACTTCAAAGGTTTTAATCCTTAATGTGCAGCATCTAGAAGCCACTCCATATTTTTCTTGCAGGCTGCATTCAGATTTTGCTTGCTCAGAAGGCAATAGCTATTTGCCTTGATGACCTTTCATGCTCCCCAAAAAGTATATTCTAATAGTTGCTCATGACTAGCATGCACTCTAATTAAATCTAACATGGTAATGAGAGCAAAGCCATAATTAAAACAGCAGCTGATTTAGCATTCTGTTAGTTGTGGAAGAATGTTCAGATTTTGCTTAATGTTAATTCAGTGTGAGCTCCAATGAGCAGGCAAATCAGCAGGCTCCAGGGCAAACTGCCTTCAGTTAATTTAGTATGACATAGCATAACTTAATGCATCAGAAACTATCCATCTCTGTGGGATAATCATGTCAGGATGGTGTGACCTTAGTACTGTAAGCAGCAGTTCCATAACATCGCAGTTGTTTATCCTCTCACCTGTAGCATGGCTCCAGCCAGTACAGTATCTACAAGCTTTCTGAGAGGGAATAAAGTACAGTTATTTTTTGTCCAGTGGGAAGATGGTATCCCAGAAGGTGCTGCTTTTCAAGATTATGCTTCCTAGAAGGATGCCCAAGGCATCATTACTAATGCTATGCAAACTGAAACATCAGATCACCAGGAGGTCTCAAATGCTTTTACAAGCAAGGAATACACAATCAATCATATTTCATCAAGTTAACAGGGGGCAGGGACTAACCAACACAATAAACATTCTGTTTCTCTGCTTGGTAAGTGAAGGTTAAACCACAGCATCTTAATCCAGCCCCCAAACAAAAGGAGGTTAAATTGCTCAACTTTAGCTTCTGCTTACCATGGGGTAAGAGATGTCACCTGGATAGTTATTTTACATCTGCTGCTCCACAGTAAGTCCCCACTCATGTCAGCTCTGCCATTTGATTATTTCTCTAAGGCTTTAGACATGTGCCCAGGTCAGAGCTGCTCAGCCCATGATTATACCCCAAATTCCAGTCAACCTCTAAAATAACCTTATACTCAATTATTGAAGAATTCAAAGGGGAGATGCTATTTAAAAGCTGACTGTGTTTGGGATAATGGAAGTGTTGACATTTTAACAATGGTGCAAACCACAATGGTAGCTAAAGCCATCAAAGTCTACAGCTGTTCTTTTGACTACACAAGAGGTTTCAGCAGTCACAAGGCACTGCAGGAGTGATTTACTATTTAGGTATAGAGCAAGAGCCCAGATACTGACCCCATTTCCTTTATCCATAGATAGCTTTAACCCAGAAACAGAACTCTTACACTGCCTGCATAGCACAGGCCTCAGTGTCATTCAGTCCCACCTTTAATAACACCAATCCATTTGACTACAGCAGATCTTCCAGAGAGGCATCCATTCTCACTGTCAAGCAAGAAGAACCTATTACTTTCCCTTGGTCATTTGTTAGTCATCCTCACTGTTGAAGATTTGTGCCTTACTTCTAATTTGAGTTCACCTGGCTTCAGCATTCAGCCACTGGCTCTTGCTTTTGTTTTTCCTCTGGTACTGCTTATGTATCTTGTCAATACCCTCCTCCACATGCCCACAAGATCCATGTGTTTCTTACTCATGCCAAGAATTATATTATGTTACCCATACAGTGGAGTCTTCTTGGAGTCATATAAACTTAGATCTTGTTATGAGATCAAGCAGATGCTTGGTCTTCTCTTCCATCCATTTTTCTTTTAGACATATCCCATCTTTATATCCTAGTGGTTTCACTTCCCCTGCACATTCTAACAACACGTTCTCATTTTAGTTTTGTTTTGTTTTTTTTATCTCAAGGTAAGACTGAGGGGCTCTCAAAAGTACCTTCTGGCTGAGAAGTGTCCCATTCAGGAGTATATGTCAGGTCCTACA